CTCCTAATTTATCACGATTAGAACCCAATTCAAAATATAGTCGTTGGAAAATCGATGCTCAGATTTTGATCTACGGTTTGTTTATAATGACCATAAATCATGCATTCCTAAATTAAACAAGGGTTTATAATGGAGAGTAACCTTCCAAGAGACTATTCTTCGACAAATTTTGAGGCACTCATGAATCAGGCAAAGGTGTTGTTAAATCTGTCAGAACTCAAAAAGCTTTTACGTAGGGTAGAGGTCAGGTCTACATACATCTTACCCTTCTTGGACCCCACCTCCAAGTGGGATATAAATTTGGTTTGGTTTATGAAAGATGGTGAAGAAGAGGTCATTTTGTATAGTTTGAAACAAGTGAAGTATTTACATGCTTCGAGATCCAACATCTGAATAAGCATGAATGTAATGTTGACACCAGCTACAGCAAACGGATATTCCCACATGGAACGGTCACCCTCCTGCTTTCGAAGAAGATCTTGGAACGATTTCTGTAGTAAATTAAAGCAAAACATGTAACAGCATATATATATATATATAAACATTGCAAGCTGTATAACCTAATAATAATCATAAGTCACAATCTTCACATTGTTATCAATCCACATATCTAGAGATGCAAGGAAGGGGAGAGAGAGAGAGAGAGAGATTACCGGGAAATACTTGGCGAAATACAATAAGTTCTCCAATGATATAAACCCGCCACCCCTATAACAAAATTCTGAGGTATTAACAATACATAATGTCAATGGGAGCTCTCAAGAAACGACATGAAACGTGATTTACCGAAAATCAGTCGAAGGATCTTTCCCTTGCCAACCCATTTCCTTCCACTGTTCAGAAATTAGACCACAAAGTTCCTCTTCAGGAAAGGCAGCTTTCCACAATGCTCTTAGTGCTTCCTATAAACAGCAATGAATTTGGAAAATCCCAGATGAAACCCTCTTTATCTAGACCTAAATCTCAGTCATGAAGCCTCAAAAATATGTGTTTCTTGTCCTCAATCAGATGAAAGTTATCAGCAAGATTTTACCTGGTGTTCTGGAATTGAACTATCATAGGCAACGTCTAAACGCTGTTGCAGTCTTTGTAAGCAAATTTCCTGCAGAGAAATGAAGCATCAGATTCTTATATCTATACCATATTAACGAATATGTGCACCTTATTTATGGTTTAAAAGGAGAAAATGGAAATGGTTATGATTTTAAACCCAAAATATGTTTACTTTCTGCATACACCGAAAGCAAAGTCATGCTTCCATTATGCTGGATCATCATTTATAAATGAATAAGTAGCAAGGCCATGTAACTTCCACCATATTGACCTTTGGATGCACCGGCCAGATGAGAAGATTTGTGCGAAGAAGTCAATAGTTCAGCCCTCCCCCCCACCCCCCAAGGCCGTTGAAGGGTTTGCCTAAGTGTCAACTTCATTGCCCCGTGGGATTAGTCGAGGTGCACAAACTGGGGCTGTTTGATTGGTTTTCCATTGACTCATGTATGGATAAAGTTGGTTGTGTGGATTAATCTGTCCGTATAGATCGGGAAGGTTTTTTCATAGACGGAAGGAACGTTTTTTTAATTGAGAGGGACAGGTTTGGAAAAAACTAGAAGCTTACTAGATAAGCCACTTTCCATATCATTAAGCCACTACCAAAACAGTCATATATAATTGACCGAATAAGCTGTGAGTCCCATTAAGCTGCTAAGAAATAGGCCCTAGACACCCACGGTTATACAAAGGTCAATAGGAAAGATAAATGCCAGTTATGGGAGTGTTAGAAACGGATATGGGTGTGATCTTAGTTTAGAGCAGAAATCTTGTTAATGTTGCAACATTTTCTACATAATTTTCAACATCAATTCTCCCATTTCTTAACCCCCAATCCCTATCCCTTCAAAACAGCCAAAAGGATTTAGAGATTTACACACGAAAAGGAACACAACAAGGCTTAAAAGAACCTGCAAACTGGCATGATAAATGTCCTTCAAATTCGAGGAAGGGAGAGAACTATCATAAAGATGAGTAAACCATCACTGATGTACAACAACTGCAATAAATCAAAACCAAAATGAGGGAGTAGAGCAACACCCCACTGGAGTCATAGGAAGGAATTATCATTGTATTAATCCAATTAAAACCCGAAACAGAACTTTTGGCATGTTTTGTTGTTATTAGTGTTCACAAGAACAGGATCTGCTGAACGATGGTATAAATAGAGGGAGAACCAACTATGAGCATAATATTGTAAGCCATAACTCATTTGTTCAAAAAAGATATATATCAACACAATGAATCTTAATGGGTGTGACTTAACGGGTTTATAAACTGTACCTGGGCAGGGGTCAAATCAAATGATGGGCGCGAGTCACCTTCTCTTCCCTGAACACAAACACACGAGAAGCCTCTGCCAAGCCATGCTGCTGAGCCTGCCACAACCTCAGCTGCATATAAAAGGAGAAACAATATCAAAGGGTCAATGGCTCAGTGGCACCCGGGTTACCAATAGGATCCTAACCTCCTTAGCCCTACCGAAGGTTAGAAGTGTGTGTGAGTTTTGTCGTATATACATATTATACACTTCAAAAAAAACAGTGGTCAAAGCAAAGTTCCTAAGTCTCACAGAAATCATGGCTCAAAAAAGCCTACAGCTGACAAGTATTTCAACTATGAACACCAAGCATTTCATGATTAATGCTATAGCCAACAAGCATTTTGCAAAATTGAATGAAGCTTCCATAATTCACTTCTTCAAGCCCCAGTAATATGTCATAAACAAGTTCCCAATTGACCTTGTGGAAAGTAATTACAATCTATTGTCTTAATCAACTTTCCATCTCAACCTTATCAATTAAGCCCAATCATCTGAACTCAATTGGACATATAACAATTTCCACAGATTAACTCCGAATATGGTATGAGAAATATACCTGAAGCTGTATTACAAGTGCTGCTTCTATCAAGACCATGTGAAATCCTTCTAACTGCAACAAATGATCCACCTCCTTCTCTATCCTCCATTTCGAGCAAGTAACACACACTTAGTTCACCTCTAATTCCACCATTACCGACCACAAACAAAAGCACAGAACTTGGCAACAAACTGCCAAATTAAAAACAAATTAACCTTGAATAAAAACCCACATCAAGAAATAAAGCCGATCACCCCTTCCGCCATGAAAATGGTAAAAAAATCAAGAACCAATACATAAAGAAGGCTTACCAAGTGATTCTTGAGGGGAAATGTGGTACTTGTAAAGGGTTTTTACTGGATCTAAATTTCTACCAGGAAAACACTGAAAATGGAACTAAAATCAAGCTCGTTTTCTATCTTTGATCATTTTGTTTTATGTATATATATATATACATATATATACACAGGAAGAAAGAGAGACTTGTTTTATATATATATATACAGGAAGAAAGAGAGACTTGGTTGTCGTTTCTCTCACTACTTTCTCTCTCTACATCTATCTCTTGAAGATCAAAAAGTTTTATGTGTATGTATATACATATATTATATATATATATAGAGAGAGAGAGAGAGAGAGAGAGAGAGAGAGTTGTACATGTTCTTTGTTCGTGTGTTGGTGGCCATCTCGTCTGTTAGGAAGAGAGTGGGAGCGAAGGTTTTGAGGTACGGAGATTACAACTTCAAAAAGAGAATATATTTTAAATTTTATTTAATAATACTGATTTTAGTATTTAGCATATGGTTTTTCTCATCATCTGCCGTAAAAATACTTACTATTATTATTATTTGGCTTATAAAACAACATTCATGAACTACACAATGATCAAGCTTGACCAAAACGAGTTCAAATTAGAAATAAGGTTTTGCTTTATGGATCCTTCTTAAAGGTTATCGATTCGAGTCTCTTTGAGATGAATCGAGATACAAACAAGCTGGTTCGGACACCCATGGATAACAAAAAAATGTGCATGTTTTGTAAACTAGTTTAGGTTGTGGTCCACCGGTTAAAAAATTCTCATATTCTCGCGGTTCGAATCCAGACGTTGTTAAAATCTTTGTGATCGTGGAGGTTCACCTGTGATAAAACTCCATGTCTGTCACGGTCGTCTGGGTGATTAATTAGGAGTTGTTTACTAAACATTTTTACCTTCATAAGCGCTTATTAGTTCATTTACCTTACTGGATGAACATAATAAGAATTGAGAATCTTACTCGTTAATAGAAAATGCAAGGATCAAAAATCTTACCCGGTAAGTGAGGGTGATGACTCTTACCTGATAAAAGCTTACTGTGTATAAAAATTTCTTATTAATCTATGATATATTATAAAACATTTGACAAAAACTCTTAAAAATCATTTTTCATACATGAAGTACTGTTTATTGATTCATATTACTTGAAATTCAGGATTACAAGTAAATTGTGCATAAATACAACTTATTAAACCTCCATTTTTGAATTCGTGTAACTAGCTGTAGATAAATATAATCAAATACAAGATAAAATTCTCATTATAAATATATCTAAAATATAATTTTTATACTATATTATAAAACATTTGACAAAAACTCTTAAAAATCATTATTTATACATGAATTATTGTTTATTGATGATACTACTTGAAATTCAGTTTCACAAGTAAATTGTGCATAAGTATAACTTATTAAACCTTCATTTTTGAATTCGTGTAACTAATTGTAGATGAATATAATCAAATACAGGATAACATTTTAAATATATTTAAAATATAATTAGGATAATTATTGAGTTTTAACAGATTATCTAGTTATTATCTTCATAAAAATTATATTATTAAACCAAAAATAAATTACTTCGTTATTAACCCTAAATTAAATTATAATTAAAAAAATTTGAATCAAAGAAATTACACAAAAAATGAGGATTCTTATAATTTTTTTAATTTTTATGATATTTTCAAATTTATATTTTATTAGGAAAAACATTATTGTTTGCTCAAAACCACATAAATTCGAATTATAACATCGACAGAGAGCAAAAAAAAAACATTGAAATCGAAATATATATATATATATATATATATATGTATCGTTACATTGCACAAATACTCTTCTAGTCTATTTTAATATATGAGAATGTGTAAACTCTTATCCGATAAACATACCCTCAGTATGGATAAGTTGGTGCCAATTCCTATCATTACCAAAAAAATTTGCATATTTTTAAACATTAAGGTATGTTTGTTTTTGCTTAAATAATATGTTTGATTTTTTTAATTAATTTTGAAGTATATAAATGAAAAATATATTAATTTTGTTAGTATTTTTAGCAAATGTTGAGTATCAACAACCTTAACAAGTCCAATCCTTATGAAAATCTAGTGTGAATGAGCTATCTAAGACTCATTCGACAGCAAGACGCATGACTGGACTCGAACTCGAAAGTAACGACTTTTTGAACAAACAACTTCTCATCTCATGAGTTAATCAAGCTACACACAAAGGGGCATCTCGGTTTATATTATGGGGAACATTATTACAAAAGTTCTTAAAAGTATAACTTTAACTCAACCATTCTTTAAACTAAATAGATTAACTTTTGGTGATCTTCTTCAGAGGTTACCGGTTCGAGTCCTGTAAAGCCACTAAAGATTTTCCTAGATGTTCCCCAAGGTCCCTCGAATTAATCGAGGTATATATAAGTTAACCCAGACATCAATGATAAAAAAATTAATAGATTAAAATTATGTTATGTAGATAACAAATAGATCATATGGAAACCACAAGGGTGGTGTCTGATTGGTTTGAACTTGACTCCAAAGGTCAAAAGTATCAGGAGGTCTCATGTTCAAATCCAAGGAGGAATAAAAATTCCCTTGTGGCTACGAAGGTTCAAATGTGTTGACTCCGGGCTATATGCAAAGCAGGTGGTCCCTCTGGAATTAGTCGACTCGTATAACGGATTGGATATCCAGATTAATAAAAAAACAGATCACATGGGGTGTGTTGGAGGATGAAGATGAAGGGCATTGATGACCTACCATTCTCTTCAACTTTATACTTTGCTTTGTGGGTTATTCATAAAAAGAAAATTACATGGCCTACAATACAAGCATAACATAGCATGGGTCTCAAAAACAATGCCTTCCTTTTCACTTTTGCTCTTTCAAGGGACCATTCTTTTCATGTGTGCTTTAAAAGTTAAGCCTCTTTATCCAATTATAACCATGTGGTTTGTTGGGATCCTATCACTCATAAGTTTCATAAAATATACACACACACGCACATATATATATATATATATATATATATATATATATGTGTGTGTTAAAAATAAAATATATATATATAGGGTTGGGTTCACGTGAGACCAAAGGTTTTTCGTGAGACCCGTAAGACCAATGTATGTTCATTGATCAACTTTATAAGTTAATTATCTAATGATCTAAAGTTGTACGGTGACAATTTTGTGATTATTGAGAAGTCACGTGGCAATTTTGTGATTGTGAATGTCCAGATTGTAGATTTAATCCAAGGGTTGAGAATTGGTCTTACGGGTCTCACGAAAAACCCTTGGTCTCACATGATCTCAAGTCTATGTAATGTATGTGTAATATATAAAAGAATTTGTGTTAAAGACAGGGTATGTATGATATAAGATATAAGGATAAATTTGAGCTCGAGACAAGATATGTATGTGTAAAAGATACAGGGATGGATTTGTATTAAAGACTGTACATGTAAATTTCAACTTAAGAGGCTCCAATAAGCTTTCTTATAATGAGATGTAGCAAAACATCACCTCATATTTACAAATTCATATAGAAATTAGAAAGTGAAGACTAAATATGCAAATAAATGTAAGTTTCAAGATACTTGCTGTAAATTACACAATTGATTTTCTAGAATTATAAATTTGTATCAAGAATTAAAAATAATACTGAACACGTCATGCTTATTCATACTCCTTATTGGGAAAAAGTCAAAAAACTCAAAAGCTAGTTGAACATTGATAAAAAGAAAAGTCAGTAAAATAAACAATAAATGTGGAATAAACCTTGTTTGACAAAACCTTTCTCGACTTATATGAACTTTTGAGGATGCAAGAAAAATATGGTATACTAAAAAGAAAAGTCTAAAAAAATCCAATGAACTTTAGTGTTTGGAATGATTAAGTCATTGGACAATTTTTTGGAACAAATAAGTCTCTGGACATTCCAAAACATGTTAAATAATTTCTTGGACTTTCTAAAACCTGTTACATATATCTTTATCACCTATACAACTGGTTAATATGATAAAATAATTGAAAAAAGTCCCCAAAAAAACTCAATGAACATTCATATTTTGAAGGACTAAGTCTCTAAACATTTTTTGAACCAAAAAGTATTTAGATCTATAAAATTAAACAAATGTAACAAAAAAATACTTACATTTAAAAAAAATACTTACATTTAAAAAAGATTTTTGATAAAATTTATTTTAATTAAAATTAAAATATATTTTGTAAACTAAAAAATTTAAAAAGAATTATTCATCAAATTTATT